ATCAGGAGGGAGAGGAGGCCTATCAGGAGGAGGAGGCCTATCGGGAGGAGGAGGCCTATCAGGAGGGAGAGGCCTATCAGGAGAAGCCCTATCAGGAGGAGGAGGCCTATCAGGAGGAGGAGGCCTCCTATCAGGAGGAGGTGTAATGAGATGCTGCGGCTGGGCTGCCTAACAATAGCTGCAGTGTGTCGCTGCTTAGCCTGCTGCTCTCCACCTATTTGTCATAATCACAGCCAGTTTTCTCATTAGTGGAAACCATTAGGCCTTAAAGCTTTATCTGCTGCTTATCAGCCCACCGCTACCACATCGCCAGGCTCCGCGCTCACACACTCACACCTCATCAAAACCCCAAAACACAAAGAACACGGTGCGTGCAGCGGTGCGGACCCGCTAGAACCGACACACACATAGCGCCCAGCACAGCGCCGCTGGCCCACAATGCCTGGCTCAGGTATCTCATAGAGAAGCCACTGACCCCACACATCTAACTGAGCAACTCCGGCAGTGCCAGCGCCAGTTACAAAGCACACCCATCCTAATCTGGCTCCATTAGCGGCGTCTGTCCCTCCCCAGTTGCCGGGCTTTGTTCGGCTGTCAGGATGACCAATGACGTCGCACTGCTGCTTGATTCATGGCGGCGACCCTGAGATCACATCTGATGGGAGCGTCAGGCCAAACGACCAAACACACCCCCAGCAGCCCATTATAGTCTATTTATCTAGCTGGACATCTAATGGGAGCGCTTCTTTTCCACTCCGACACTGTGATGCTATCGCGGGAGGCTCGGTTAAGACTTGGACTGCTCGGCTGGGGCTATCTGAGGTGGAGCAGGTTAATAACTGGGATAGCTGTTAACTTTTGAAACCTATAAAAAGGAATTAGACTTGACTGGGACTTGCTGGAAGCTCTCCGGCTCTGAAATCAACCCAGCGCAGTCAGAGATGTGCGTAATCACGTCCTCAATCATTCTTTGAAGCCTTGTGTCTCCAACAAGCTGGCTTTAAATGGATCTACATGCTGTGGATTATAGGTTAAAAAATCATCATTATACCTACAAGGCTCAGCACGACACTCGTTAAATCATATCTGTAATTCCAAACAGAAGGATTTTTATTTATAATTTATCCAGCAGCTGCTCTTTTATTTGCTGCACCATCTATTTATATACTCTGTACATATTTGCTCATGACAATTTTGCATTGAGTTGTTTTTATTTTTGTTGTTGTTGTTGTGTGATGTTTTCAACTTTTTAACTTTTTAATATCTGGTGCTGAACTGGGAATCTCACTCATTCAAGATTTTTTATTATTATAATATTCTATATATATATATATATATATATATATATTGTTTTCCTGTGTGTAGAACATAAATGACACAACAGCTCAGGTTACACATATATGCAGTTATGAACATAACAGATAAACAATAGTGTATAAATCGACTAAAGAAACAGGACTTGGGTGAGTGGAAGGTGGTAGCTGCATGGTAATGGGAAAATAAATATGTTAAATAATGACTGAAAGAACAAAATAAGTGCTCCAAAAACACTGTTTGTCGTATCTTTTAATACCAAGATTTTTATTTATCTTTTTTAACTTCGTCCATCACTTTTATGTCCAAATAACGACAAAAGATTTGAGTAACTGGTCAGGTTTAGGTACAACTTATAATCCTTCACTGAAGAGGAGAACTGTGTGCATCGAGTACAAACTGGATTTGTATGTGTTGAACATGTTGTTTGTGTCTGACTTGTTGTTTGAAGGTAAATAATTCTGACTTGGTATTTTTAGTTTAAAAAACAATAATAGCACTGACGGAGAATTACCACCAGGAGATTATTTTTTTATCTTGACGGTGGTGCCTCAATACAGGTATTAATTTGCATTTGCCTTTGTGGACATCGGTGTAGCACCTCTGCAGCTGGGATTTCTTCCCACATGTTCCTCTTCTGCAGCACTCCCCAACTGAAACCAATTCTTTATCACTTTCTCTTGCTCCTCCTTCCATTTCCTCCCAGTGCACCCAGCGCTTTTCATCCTCCAAATCGTCTTTTTTAGCTCCTCCATCTCCTCTCAGTGATCACCTTCTTCTCCCCCCCGTTTCTCCTACCAAGCCTCCTTTTCCTCCTCCTCCTCATCCATCCACATCTTCCTCCTCTCTCCATGTCATTAAGTCCTCAGCCCGCCTGTGCACTAAAACATGTAAAAGAGCTTCCGTTTTGGGAGAGATTTGTTTGTGGCATTAATAGTCTTTAGTTTTCCACATGGTTTCCCAGCTGCCAGAGACATTAGAAAGAGAAGTGAGGTGCGACACATCTCCCCTCTCATCCTCTCATCCTCTCATCTCTGCCTCATCTGTCACACAGCGATGGAGGGAGGGAGGGAGGGCCGGAGGGGAAAAAGGAAAAGGTAAAGATGGTATGCGAAAACACGACATAAAGAAAATAAAGCACCGAGGAAGAGAAGGAGAGTTTGGCAGATTGTATTAGCATCATTACCACCAGTTCTGTTTGAGAAAGATTTTTAAGAAGTTAAAATGATCAGTGTCAGTGTTGAGATGTGTTTGTCCCATAATAACTCGCAGCAGCTCCAAAGCAGGACTGTTCAGCATCACGTCGTCACTCAGGATTCATCTGTGATCCTCATGTAAAGGGCAACAACAAATAACAAACATAAAACTGATTCTTATTCAGATCAATGGACGTTTGATTTATCTCATTCATTCTTATTTGCATTTTTTTTTTTTTTTTTTAAACAAGGAGGGAAAAAAAAGGTTTTTATGATGCTTTCGACCAGGTGCTCGTCTGATTTTTTTGCAGAAAATGAAATCCCTGCTCAGTCACTGAACTTGCAGATTTGTACTATTTTCCAAAACGGATAATCCAACAATCACAGTCGCTTTAAGTTTCTCTTTCAGACTCACTCTTTTTAAGCCCTACACCTGTTCTTATGTCAGTTTTTTTGTGAGTCATTATCTCTCAATGGAAGACAAGTGAACAGGTATCATTTTGCACATATCACAACAACATATATTCACATTTTCATTCAAAACACATCCTCACCAGGTCCACATTCTTAAAAATGGATCCTCTTCTGCACTCTTGAATTGCACAATAAGAACAAATAGTTGTGTTACCCACCATCCCAGTATTCACACAACTATGTCCAGTTCATGCACCCTTATTAGTGCTGTCCCTGGATTTAAATGTTCACAAGTATTTTACTGTCACCTGATTCAAACAACAAAACTGGGATGTTATATAAAATGTTACTGGATTTTCTAGGACGGAATTTCTACAAGACTTTTTATACTGGCAGTGTAATTGGGAACTAACGAGGTGAAATAAAAAAGCTGCTGTTTGAGAAATTGAAGTGCTTATATATATATATACATATGCATTTTTATTTTTATTTCCTTGAGAGATCAATGATGTTTAAACAAAACTAGCACAATATGCTAATCAACAGCTCGCCAAATGAATAATCAGTTGTTAAATATCCACTATTATAAAAACCATTAATCCATTTAACATTTACTGACGTACCAAAATAAAATAAAATGCATCCTAAAATACAAATACAACCCAAGGAATTTGTTCATGACGGTATTAATTTTGAAATGAAATGAAAAATACTTTATTTATCCCAGTAGGGAAATTCAATTTTATGAACAATAAAAACAGATTAATGGTTGATATATATTTCTGTGTCAGTGTCATGTCGTCTCTTCTGTAGTGGACTTATTGTATAGTTCTGTTGAAAAAACTTTCACCTTTTGTCTTTAAAAACTGCTTTTCTACAAAAGCAGTTTAATAAACTCACTAAAAATGCAGCAACTTTTCCTTCTCTCATTGGAAAATTCTGAATGTGTGCAGGTCTCTCACTAACTAACTGAGACTGGATTACTCGTGCTCGTACTGTTTGTATGTTCAGAACTATTTGATGTGAATACACCTGCAACAAATTCATTTATTTCTTTTTAATGATAAATTCTGTTTTTTAACGCTGGATGTTGTCCTTTCACTCTTCGTGTTTGTAGGTCACTCTTGTTCGGTTTATGAACGTGTCAGAAGTTTCAACAGGAGGGGCTCATGTGCACTGACAGGCAAAACACAGAACAGAGAAACTCCAACACCCACTGTTGCCCCTTTTTCACCAAGAAGATCCAGGTGTGAGTTCGTTGCTGGTGCTGGAGTCAGTGCCTCAAATCTCACAAGAGCCTGTTTGCTTTTCCACTGGCAAGGAGTAAAGTTAGAGCCACGCCATTGCATCGCTGTCAAACGTCAGTACGTCACTGTAAACAGAACCGCTTCTGGTCCCCGTCGTCCTTTTTCAGTTTCCTGAGTTTATTGAGGAGTTGGTCGAGGCTCCGCTTGTCCCGGGCTGCAGCCGTCTCCTGCTGGATTATTTAGAACACTGGCTTGGTCCGAGGCTTCCTCCGGCTTATTCCTCAGTTGAAGACCACAGTGCCAGGCAGCAGTGGGTCTCCTCCTCAGACCACTGCTGCTTGGATTTGGCGTCCATATTAACCTGTTTAGTTTTGTCGTCTAAATGGGCCTCGGTTCTGAGCTCTGGTCCAGCAAAGAGTTGGTGCTTGCTGAGCACCAGTTTGTATAACCTGGAGCCGGTGCTTCGGTGGTGGAAACACAAAGAACTGGTGCTAAGTCAGGCTCTGGCTCTGAACCAGCAGTGGAAGCAGCTCAGTGGAGAAGCTGTAGCTTCATTCTCTGAAAAGAACACCATCACTCTCCTCTGTCTTTGTCTTTATGTTCAGTCTCCTATAGAGAAACTTTAACGAACGTATGTGTTAAACTTTGCATAGATTTCAATCTGACTATATATCCACTCCTGAATGAAGCTTTTCTGAGGCCTTTTCTGAACATCTTCATCCTCTCTGCCCTCCTCCGTCCTCCTCTCATCTTTCCTCCCTCTCTTCCTGCTCAGCACTTACTGTACCATCGCCTGGTTATGTCACCTGCAGTCGACCTGTCTGTCTCTAATTAATACGAGCAGAGAGTGAACATTTTCAGGCCCGCTCCCCTCTCTTCTTTTCTTCTCCTCCGCCCCCCTTCTTCCTTCCTCCGTCACCCCCACAAACCCCCTCCAGTTAATCACAGTTGTTCCCGGCAAAAGGAGCCGT